TATATATATTGCATTTTTCACTTTAGTTAGGTGTATAATAGTATAGCCCCAGATTGTGACTATCATGTATTACATACATGAGTCACGAACACGTTGGATCGCTCACAGTGACAACCTGTATTCTCCCATTTGTTTAGACTGAAGCAGACAAACACGCATAGCGACTCAAACGGTGATGGAGTCATCAGCTCCCCTCTGGTGGTCCCTTCATTTCTCTCTCTCCCTCACTGTGCGTCATTTTATGGCTACAAGTCAGCTAACATTTGTTTTGACAAAAGACCCCATTTAGTCAATGTTTGGTTGATATTTATAGTGAAGAAGGCCATTCCTAATTCTGTCTTTTAGGTAATTTGTGATGGTCGGTGTGCTGTCATCATTGGATAACACACTTTAAACCTGGATAGCTTTAAATGGGCTTATCCAGCATTGTGTGTGTGTGTGTGTGTGTGTGCACGAGCGGAGGGAGATATTCAGACACAGGAGTTTCACAAGAATCCCATAACACTCTCACGTCCCTGAGTGGCTCATTTGTGTGCTGTTGAACATTGTGGAATACCAGGCATTTGTTTTTATGATTCAGCCTTCAGCTGGCTTCTCCCAGCGTCTGGGTTTATTTGTGAAGCTAAGCTGGTCTGGCCAACCAGACCCCCCCCTCCTCCCTCATCCCCTCTTGAGTAGAATATTTAAAAATTGTATTTTAAACATTTGGGTGATGCCCTCATCCAGAGTAACCTACAGTGGGTGCAGTACATGGCTCAGATGAATTTTGGCTGAGCGATCAATCACATGAACTTGTGGCCATGGAATGAATTACCCAGCATTGTCTGTCACCCTGGGAGAAGTTTACTTCTCTGCATGGGTAAGCATGTATGTATAAGTGTAATGCCCTCTTCTCGTGGCCTTGACAAGCAGGCTTACCACATGCGGTGGTGTATATTTTGACTGCATGGTCAAACAAGGGTACAGCAGACAATGACTCTTGCCCACCCATTTGGACAAACACTGCAGGTTTTACTTCCTTGTTTTCACTCTCCAGTCATACTTTTTTATTCTCTCTTACCTAACCTTCAAATCATAACACTGTTCATCTCCAGTTTCCTCTCTCTCTCAATGTCTTAAATACTTTCAATGTCTTAAATACTTTCACCTACTCTTTCGTTACATCTCTTTCCCCTCACACTTTCTCTAGGTGTGGACCTGCACCAAGGAATGCAGTTAAATTAGTGTTTCATCTCTCCTGCCAGCCAGCTCCATCTGTACTCCCAGCCATGCCAAGCATTTCAGACACAATTGACCTTAAAAGGAAACAATAGTGCCCTATCACTTCTGCTCTGTCAGTCAAGGAACGGCTCATTCCTGCATGGGCAGGGTCCAGCTCGCACACAAAGATCTTTGTGAAAGAAGTACTGGAAAATAAGAGCAGTGCAGTGCACCTAGTAAAGTTTTCCTCGTTATTTATACAAGTCTGAAACGTGACCATGTAGCCATATCTGTGTCACAAAATTCACTAGATATAAAATAAAACAGTAAATACATTTTAGATGTTTTTTTTTTTTTATTCAGTTAAATACCTGATTATTTTTAAAACAATAAGGGCTGAGTTAGTGCCAGCTGCAATTCTTATCAGGCATATTCTCAGTTAGAATCAGGTATAAACGGCAGCTGCTGTGAATGAGAGCTGCTTTGTTTACAGCTTGTATTTTCAGGCTAGCTCCTCTTCTTTCACCTTCTCATTGTCAAAAACAGTTACCACCACCACCACCACCACCACCACCACCACCACCTGATGGTAGGGAGAGTTATTTCTCTCATCCAGGCGTAGAACCTACGTGCTAGTTGGCCATTGGCGTGTACAGTGTGTTTAAGTGCCACCTTTACTACCCAGAGTCCAAGTGGCCTAGACAGAGGTGATACAGAGTTTGATAAACTCAGCTCTTCATCTTGCACAAGTAATTTATTTGCAGCATCCTTGGTATTAATAAAGTATCATTTCATTATATTTGTTAAGGTATTCTACATCTGCAGTATGTCAGACAGTGAAATCTTATTGGTTGTTTACTTGTTTTTACTCTTCATTCTGTAAAGGTTCTTACATGCCAGGCAGTTTCTATGTTGTCGGCTTTTTGCTGTGAAGTTAAGACATCAAAGATCTTCTGTGACATTGCTGGTTGATGTATTGCACTTGTTGTATAACTGAATAATAGTCTGCAATGTGTGTAACCAGCAGTATAGTGTGTGAAAGCCTGTTGTTTGTGGAACAGGGAGGGCTACAGGGCTGTAAGCCATTAGATATCAGGACAGGTTCTGCAGGTTCACAGTGAAGTTAAAGAGGTGGATGGTTTTCCACCTGACAGCTCATTAGTAGACAGAATTCTTGCTCCACCTTGTTGCTCTGCTGGGCTGGCATGCACATAACAGTAGAAGGAATGTTGTTTGCAGCCTTTAGTGACACCAAATTAATTATCAGTCATGTTCTTTTCCTCTCTAGTGTTCCTTCCACCTTTTATTAGGGTCTACTGTCTGCTGCTTCCTAGATCTCTGCCTCCTGTCCCTTCCCATCATCCTCCTCTTTAAGTATCTGCTTGTTCTTTCTGCTCCTCTGTCTCTTTCCTTGTTCTTCTCTCACTCTGTCTCTCTAGGCATCTTGTTCACTGTGTTTGATTTGGGCATTCCTTTCCTCCCCAAGCAGTCAAAACAACCCCAGACATATCTGAACTGCAATCCCAGTGTGCACGTACACATACATATACATATACATACACTCTCTGTTCTGTTAATCACTCACAGGAAAGGGGCTCCCATGCAAACAAGGCGTGCCACCACCTGATGGTAGGGAGAGTTAGTGGAACCCAGGATGGGGCTTCATGTCTTGAAATGTTCTCCAGTGGAGGAAACTGAACATGACCTCCTTTTTCTCCTTCTGTTGCTCACCCTTGTTTCCTCTTTTGTTTAATCAGTGTGATTCATTTATCCTTTCTCTTTTTCCATATTGCCTTTGAAATAAGTTAACAATAACTTAACACTTAAATGAGCATCTGTGCTTGTCTGAAATACATTTTTGTGCTTTTAATTAAAGCATGTCCTGCAAGACATTGTGCTTATGTAATGCAGTACGTTCCAGTTACCAAAATACAAATATGAACAAAAGTCCAACAATAAAATGAAACAACGTCATCATGATAAAGATATTAGGACTGGACAATAAATCAATATTATAATTTATCCATACATACATCATCAGTGCAATCGTACTGTAATGATGTTGCCAATCTTCAAATTTCTGTTTTCAAATTTAATGATTATGATCAAGATGTAAATGAATTTTTTTGAAGTGAAGTGTTTATCCACTGCATAAAAGTTGAATGCAGTGTACTTTTATTATAGGCTAATAAATTCAAGCCTAGTCCAGAGCTAGAAGATTAGAGTTTTGAAGTTTTCTTCATGATACAGAAGTGTACATGGAGTGGACACAAGTGTTTGGTGTGCTAGAAATGACACTTACTGTGATGGAAAAGTGTGAAACAACCCGGCGACTATTTCAGGAATTGCCACCTCACACAGTTATGGTTCCTCCTCCACCTGACACATGATATGTGCATGAGTAGAAGCGAGTGGGAGCAGAGGATGATGTTTGGTTACAGGTTGATCTCTGGTCACTAGGGTATTTGGCATCCTTAGCAATCCTAAGAATGTGTCAGATCTCATTTGTTAAATTGCATATTTTATTTAAGAAGATTATTTATCAAACGTGCAGCCTACAGAAGGCTGGTTTTGTACTCATTTTGCTTTATTACAGTGTAGAAGCATTGTTGTGAGAATGGTGTGAGACACAATTTGGTAGAACCTGTGTGTTAAGCCGGTGCAGTTGAGTGCAGAGTAGCCGGGTCGTCTGGTTCCTAAAAAGAAGAGTAAACAGGCAGGATGACGCAGAGAAGAGTTGAGAGAGCGGCAGGAGCAACTAAAAGACTGATGTCCCGTGTCCATCACTAGCTACTGTGAGCAAATCCCTTGCGACTAAACGTCTTTCTGAGCAGTTTTCACTGGAATATGAAAGAGTCGCTTTATTGTTTTACTCTTTTAGACCTGAAGTAGGTTGGCCAGTCAACACAAAATTTATTAGCAAAAGTTGCTGTTATTGATTAATCTTTAAAGTAAATTATAAGCTAAAATCCAGGAGTTCCAGCTGCTCAAATGTGTGGACTTTCAGATTTGAGTCATCTTTTTAGGTGGGAAATTGAAGAATTACCTCATGTTTTGGACGAGAGCTGAAACGATTAGTTAATCAATACAAAAAACAGGCAACTGTAATTAATCATTTTTGTCTTTTTTTTTTTTTTTTTTTAAAGCATATGCATTGTTGTAAGTACTTCAGCATCCTGTCACTGCTTACAGTTCACAGGAACCTTGTCCTTCTTCATCAGCACCCCCCCACCCCCAAAACCTCCTTCTCTCAGCTTTGAAATTTAGTCCAGACTCCTGTCTTGAATCTGGATTCTCTGTGCTTAACCAAACATATGGAATGCTACTGTAGTGGAATGCTCCAAGTCTGGGCTGTTGTGTGTGTGTGTGTGTGTGTGTGTGTGTGTGTATGTGTGTGTATGGAACCGAGCACATGTTTTGCAGCAGATGAGGGCTTCTAGTGTGATTGTGATTATGATAATGGTGCATGTGTGTCTGTATGTGCACCAGTGTCTTCCTCAGAAAACTGAATAGGCCCCTCTGTTGTCGTGGCCAAACGCTGCTTCTCTGCTCATGCATGAGTCTATTGCAAAGCCTCCAAATGCGTCCCATGTCTGAGCAGTTAGCTCATTTTTTTTAGCCTGTTAGCGTGACCGTGAATGGCATCCCCTACAGTGACTGCATTGTCAGCCCGGCCGCAGGCTCTGACAACAGCCAAACATAACAATGGTGAAACATGGCACAAGTTTGTTTTGATATTATGAAGCTCAGTGAGTCCACTTTTACTAATCTCATGCCTTGCTTTTGTTTCTTAACCACAGGATGGAGACTTTCCAGAGAGGACTGTAACATGTCACAGATGTAAGCATACATCTAAAATGTAAGTCATGCCTTCCATTACTTTGGATAATGTTGATTTGTTTGTGCACTTGTCTGTTTGTGTACATATTGAGAATTTCATTGAAAGTCTGCAAAAGTTTTCACAGTTAATGAAAAAGGGAAAGCATGGCTTTCTAAAAGCTATTCATGTGTGTGTGGTCATCACATCACCAAGTCCGGCAAAATCAGTTTACAGGTGATAATGTTCAAAATTTCAAACGTTTCCTCTGACTCCCTTCACTTTTCTTCCTCCACTCCTACACCCCTCTCTTTCTCCTCACCCTCCTCATACTCCTCCTCCTTGCCTCGTCCTCCCCTCCTCTGCTTCCTGCTGGGCGCATACACCGGCGCCGTGCTTCCTTCCCTGTAGCTGAAGTCACATAGGAGTGGCACACATATGCATATATGGTTCTGCGTAACATATTCTGTAACATATGGGTCAGTGCACTCATACACATAATCATCCACAGCAGAGATAGGTAGGTAGGTGTGTGTGTGTGTGTGTGTGTGTGTGTGTGTGTGTTATCTGGCTAGGTTAGTCAGCAGAGACGGCATGTGTCATTGTCTTCTTGGCTGTCTGCTCATACAACAGGTGAGGAGGGTCAATATGTATCCAAGGCGTGTTCTGTGCATCTTCACTGAGCTGGATTAAATATGCATTTATTATTGTGGATGCTAGTTCACATCCTGTTTGAGCTGAATCCATCCTAAACAGTAGGGAACTAACAAAGACCCCAAAAACCAGCATTAAAACACGAGAAGGCTCATGTCACTGAACTGCTATAAAACACATCCCACTGTATTTAAGTTTCTCAGAATCGGGAGCTTCATTATTTTTTTTTCCATTATTTTTAAAAGAAAAAAGTGAGGTGTTTTAGGAAACTAGCTTATATGCTTTCTTGCTGATAGTTATATAAAAAGATCTGCAGCATTTTTATGTCTGTTAGTCAGTAGACAGCTTAACGAATGGCAGAAGGGGAGATGGCCACATTGGCTTTTGTCTCAAGGTCTAAGTTAACTTGTTCTTGTAATGTTAATTCCAGAAAAAAAACAACCCTGCAGCTGACAACAAATAATATCATGTTTCCTGTGCACTCCAGGTAATTTCAAAGGAAAGACATAACTGTTTTAAATGTTACAAGGCTTTATGAACTATGCAAATATTGACTTAGTGTGTTGTATCAATTGAGGTAAGGGGTTTTTACTCATATCAAAATCCATGCTGAGTTTTAAATTCAAGAATCTAACTAATACTTGTCAGTATCTTTGTATGGTTGATGTGAAATGTAATGAGTTGTTGTTGATTCTTTGCCTTAACAGACATTCACAATGTAATTACTTACAGTATCTGTCATAACTTTATGGCTCAGTATGCCTCTCCTCTGATACACAACCTCGTGATTCTGCCTCCTGCTATGTCCCGTCCCCCGTTCCCCCACCTCCTCTTCCCCTCCTCCATCCTGCAGCCAGTGCTGCAT